GGGTAGGTTGCATAGCTACTGTCCATATTGAATTGAAGAGGGGAGTTAATCGAATGTTTGAAATGGGATTAGAGTAGAATAGCTTCCAACTGTAGAGAGAACTGAAATAATATTTTATTTCAAAAAAGTACAGAGGGGTAGGTTGCATAGCTACTGTCCATATTGAATTGAGGAGGGGAGTTAATCGAATGTTTGAGATGGGATTAGAGTAGAATAGCTTCCAACTGTAGAGAGAACTGAAATAATATTTTATTTCAAAAAAGTACAGAGGGGTAGGTTGCATAGCTACTGTCCATATTGAATTGAAGAGGGGAGTTAATCGAATGTTTGAGATGGGATTAGAGTAGAATAGCTTCCAACTGTAGAAAGAACTGAAATAATATTTTATTTCAAAAAAGTACAGAGGGGTAGGTTGCATAGCTACTGTCCATATTGAATTGAAGAGGGGAGTTAATCGAATGTTTGAAATGGGATTAGAGCAGAATAGCTTTCTGCTGTAGAGAGGGCTGAAATAATATTTTATTTCAAAGAAGTACAGAGGGGTAGGTTGCATAGCTACTTTCCATATTGAATGCAAGCCGGATAGGGAATGTCGGTGCAAGCCGGATGCGGAATTTGTATCTACCAGCCATCGCTGGGATTCGAACTTGGTTCGCCTCATTGTAAGACGAACGCTCTACCCCCTGAGCCATCGTTACTCAAACAAAATAATTTGAAATCAATCTTTAATGAAATAAAAATAATAGGTAAAATTAATGGCGAAATGATATTAATATATAAAAGAGAAGAATTGTGATCCACCATACTATTATTGATGCCCATAACTTTTCATTAATATTAATTCATTTTGATAATATTTTCTAATTGATAGAAAAAAAAGTAAGATAGCTATTATAAACAAAGTTAACGGAGAAAAGTAGAAACTCGCTTTACTATTATTGACGCCAATAGTGCTTAATTAATTTTGATAATAAGTACTAACCGAATTTAAAAATAAACTATGTACCGAAAAGCAATATCAATCGAAAAATGGTACTAATTCATTTTAGAAAACCGTAAAATATTGCCATACTTTCTTGATGGCAAAGATGATCAATTTATTTTGGTTACTGGTACTAATTGAAATAAAAAACAAAACAAAACTGTGTTCTATAAAGCAAAATTAATGGATAAAAGATGCTAATTGGATTTGGAGAAATACAAAGAATTATTGACTCCAGTGCTGCGTAATTAATTTTGGTATTAGACACTACTGGTAACTCGCACTGACCACAGTGCTGACGTCAATATCCTCAGTGGTAGACGCATCATGGGTTACAGTTCCTTTGCAGTCAGGCTAACCATGGAAGGTTTTCGTGGTTCTCCTCCCTATTTACCGCAAATACGGGTTAGTTCCATCAAAAAGTTCTCCACGAAGATAAATTTCTCCCAATACTTGATCCTTTGTCTTCTGGATCAGGTTCAAAATTACAATTCTACTGAGTGTGAGTATTGATACTGTGAAATGAGGTTTTCGAATGAGGTCTCTCGAAAGAGGTCTCTCGAAAGGAATGGATCGTTTGATTGTGGTATATCATGTGCTGGCTTCATGCCAAATGATACTGAAAACGTTTATTTTGAAGGGACTAAAAACATATTTTGCTTCATCTAGTAGCGCAAAAGGAAAGAAATGTTTTAAAACTTGTTTTAAATGACGATTCTTACGTTTGGAAACGTCAGGACTTCAAATGACGATTCTTATAACGATTCGTTTTTTAATCAGGTATACAAGGAATACTGCGTATGCAAGAAATAGCATTTCGTGTATACACAATACTACGCAAGACTGTCTCAAAACGCAATGATCACATTGATCAAAATACAACGGAAATAGTAACCCGGAAGTATAGGCAGGGCTGTTTTATCAAGCTTCCTTATTTTTGATTGCTGTTTCGATGCAATTTAATCATTATGCATAAATATCCGAATCAAATTAAAATAATAAATGCAAGTATGATTTAATAGAGTTATCTAGATGATGTGACTCTTATTTAGCTAATATAGATTTTCCAAACCCTGACTTGGTATTATCGCGAGAATATTTTTAACAAGTACTTTTTCTTGAAAACCTTCGAAGGTGACCACTTTGATCAGCCTCCTTTAACTGTTCTACCGAAAAGTGCTCGACTTCACTCGCTGCTTACCAAAGCAGGAGAGCCATCCCCTCTGCAGAGGATCAAAATTGTGATGGCATGTCATTTGGATCATCCTCAGGGATATTTACCAGACCGTCGCCAATAACCCATTGTGCAATTCTAGTGTGACTTAAATAAAGTGCCTACCTAATCATTTTAAGTTTATCACACTTTGCTTGAAAAAAGTGTAAACGACAAATTTATATTGCAGAAAGTTAAAATAATAATTCCTTTAAAAAACTGGATTTATTTTAATGTCAAAGAAAACTAAGAAAATCCCTGTATGAAATTCATGCTGAACAAAATAAATTATGTTTCAATAATTGAAGAATTATTAAGTAGCAATTTTTTTTTCTTCTTTTTTTTGCATTTTCTAATGATCTTGCCTGATTTGGGATTTCAAATGTGAAATTGATAATTTTGTAATAATTTATTTTGGATTTTTGTAAATTATTTTATTAAGTAGTTTTAATATAATTTTATTACGTAATTTCGTAAATGCTTAATTTTGCTCTTAAAGCTGCACTTGCTTTTTAAAATGATATTTTTTTCTCGAAATGTAAAAATTTAAAATAGTTATATATGACGTTGAGCCGCAACATACTTCTAGGAGAGCCCATCATTAGGATTAAAATTGCATCGAACCCATGCCCGTAAATGTCAGCGTACAAGGCTAGGGGCGTTTCCCTACTACGACCTGTTCAGAAGCACACGAGGACAAGAAGCGTCACAAGTGACGTATGGCGACATTTCTGGGCATGAGTTCCTACGTAATTTTAATTCTGTGCCATAACTTCCCTAGTAGTTGGTCGCAACATTTATGCTATATACAATGTTTTTAATTTGTACATTTTAAAAAACGATAGACAAAAAATTTCATTTAAAAACTGTAGTTTGGAGAGAAAAACGGATTGCAGATTGCGAGCGAAGAGAAGATTGATGAGCGAAGAGAAATTATTCTGAAATTATGCTATGATTTCACCTTATTAATTATGCTATGTACAACTTTTTTAAACTTGTTCATTTTGAAAAACGATAGACAAAAAAATTTCAGTTAAGAACTGTAGCTTGGAGAGAGAAACCGATTGCGGATTTGAAAAGAGCGAAAAGAAATTATCCTGAAATTATCCTATAATTTCACCTTATTAATTATGCTATGTACAATGATTTTAAACTTGTTCATTTTGAAAAAAGATAGACTCAAAATTCCATTTAAAAAACATCAGCTTGGAGAAAGAAGCCACTTGCAGATTTGAAATTAGCGAAGTGAAATTATCCAAGATTCGTTAAAAAAAACTCATGTCACAGAAGTTGTTACTCTGTGTTATCCATCATATATTCTTATTTTTTAATTAATTAATTAATTTTTTACAGTTAACAATAAAAGAACCACCCGAGTGTAATTCTTGTGACGAGAAATTTTGAAAATTTCGCGGGACGCAAATACAAAAAAAAATATTATCTTTACACTGAAAGACATAGACAAATCATTAAATAAAAGCATATAAAAATTGTTTCTTTTAATTTAATAGTTTTAGTCAAGTGAACAGAATATTGGTGATTCTCGTTAATGTTTCGTCGTATATCACATGTTTGTTTGGCACTTTTACCATAAGTTTTTTAGCGATTTCATAGTTCTTTCATTTCAGTAAATCTTTCTGGCTGAGGCTAACTAAACTATTTCATCATTTTGTCATGGTATTCTTATGAATTTTCACTTCAAAGGATTAGAAACTTACTTGACTCTCTCAAACGTTTTGTCAGATTTTGAAAATTTAGATAAATACTAATTGATAATAAATGCATGTGAAAAATTACACATTTTAAACAATTTTTGTTCAAATTGTATTATTTTTCAAACTGTGCAGATTTGAGAAAAAAAAATCTAATAATTTCTAGAAATCTTAGATCAAACTTGAAATGAATAATGCTCAATGATGCATGTTCTCATTGGAAATATATTACAGTGGGACCCCGATTTAACGAATTCATAGGAACCGAAAATATTATTCGCTAAATCGGGGAAATTCGTAATATCGGGGCCAAAATAGAAAAAATTCACATTTTATTCAGGAATACAGCGAATAGTTAATTTGAAATTTAAAAATATTTCGGGAATTTAAGTTTTCTTACAATAAAAAGTAATTTTTCAACGAGAGGAGTATACTCCTTCATTTACTGCATTAGATAAGTTTTCACTGTTTCCAAAGCATCAGAAAAAGTAACAGTTTTCACTTCTGTGTCGCTATTCATTGTTTCCGTTAAATCTACTTCATTCATATTCCCGATAGGATGGATACTGTAATCATTCGGAAAGAAATCCATTATTTTTCTAACCCAAATAAATAAAAAGAAATTTCCACAACCGGAATAATTCGCTAGTTCGATGTTTTATATTCGTTAAATAGCGGTTTTTTTCATCGGGAGAAAGAAAAATTCGGTAAATAGGGGTTCGTTAAACTGGGTTCCGACTGTACTCATGCAGAAATCTTTCTTTTCAGAATTGAAGTGTGGAAAACCAGGTCATTCTCCTATTTGTCCATACTTTCCAACACAGGAGTCCTATTACGAAGGTGACAAAGTTATTTACTATTGTAGAGAAAGAAATAGATGCTATTCTAACGATAACCAAACTAGAACATGCCTTCAAACTGGTACTTGGTCTGGAAAGGTTCCTTTATGTTGTAAGTCATTTTATAAATACCATTCTAACTGGGAAATATCCCATACCCTTCCTAGATAGATAAGGTTTATTTTCACACAGCGAAAACCTTTTAATGTATACCTAAAAAGGTTTGCTATGTAACCTTTTACGTGTAAACCTTCTTACCTTAAAACGAGACCTGTGGCAATCTGCTCTATTCTACGCACATTATCCTAATCCAAAACCTTGGGAAACAACCTTCCATATAAAAACCTGAAATCGAGGTTGACTTAAGGTTTTCAAGCGTGAAAAAAACCTTTAATAAAGCTAGTCTCAAGGTGAAAATAGTCTTAAATCTAGGTATTTATAAGGTTTCTTTTTGTGCAAAGTCTTATACGTGCTCAGCTAAAATCCGCCTTGTCATGAAATTATAATGGACAATGCAATTTGATCCTACCGCTAGAGTGACGTTAACTAAAATGTCATTACCTAAGTGACCATTTTACCTAGGTGACAATACTTTTTAAAAAGCCTCAAGAAAGAATTTTTAATCCTTTTAGGATGAAAGGTTTGAAGCTGCAATATTTTTGCCTTATCGAAGAAAAGGTTTTTTAGTACAAAAATTTTCGCGACATAAAAAACGAAAATTCCGGCAGAAGGTTGCCGTAAGTTACATGATTTCTGGGCTTATATTGCGCTTTGAGAAAACAAAATTATATTGTATTTTGTGATTGTGTTTTACAAAAGAATTGACTTCATCCAGCAATGTATTAGTATTAATGTCTATACTATTATTAAACTTAATCAACCTCCTTCATTGGTAGTAAGAAAGCTTCTTGATTAGCAATTTTTTCGAAAACATTTAATTTTGTACAGCTCCACACTAGTACGTTCACNATATAAAAAGTTTCAGAGCTTTTTATTCACTTTACTTTTTCGGGATTTTATGAACTGAAAAATGACAGTTTTCGTGAGAATGACCCATATAAATAATGTGTTTTCATAGTTACTGATGCTATGTCCGCTATTGAGAGCTTGCTGTTTCTTTAGTCTCGAATATAGCGTTATTAAACATTGAATCGATATAGTGTTTATTTGGTGTCTGTCAACACTAGAACCGGGTTATTACACTAGATTCAATGTATAAATTAAATCAGAAATCGTATTTGTTTATATTACAAACAAGTGCGTGTATAAAAACATATTTTGTAAATATATAATGACCTGATCTCATTCTATTCAGCGGTATAAATATTAGGTGCGTACGATTAAAAAATGTTTTGTGCAAAATACTTTTAAAAAAGTAATCCTATAAGCAGCTTTGAATAATTCATACATTCTGTGGCATATTGTGTGTTTAATAGGTGACTCCATAGTATTCTGAATTATCTTTCATTTTTTGGTCATGAGTGGAAAATATATTTAAATGATTGTCGACAACAAGCTTCTTAAAAATACATTCCTCAAAAGAATGTGCATTGATCGGATCTTTACTAACTAAAAATCAAGCTTAGTTCTTATATATACCACTAATTAACTCCAGTAGCAACCGATAACGAAATGCTTACTTTGACTAAACAACTTAATTGGACTAATTTAGAGGGAGAGCAGTTTGGAAGTCTTTTTTTATTTCCAATGGCAGATTATAGACAACATGCACAAACATCTAATGGAACAGAAGCAAAAGATGCTGCAACAGAGTCACAACATGTCTCTAGCTTCCCAATAGCTTTCAGTGATAGAATTCCTACTAAGTGCAGAGTAGCGGAGAAGGAGTCCATGTCCTCACCAGAACTGCAAAGAGTGCATACCGGGGAAGAGGAACGATGCCAAACCTAGACAGATGTTTCCGCAGACAGTCATGACCGGTGGCCAAACGGAATTCAGCCACCGCTCTTCGTCATGGGCCATTTCGCAAATTTAGGATGGTAGCCCTCCAAGACTTAGTACGGTCGATAAGTTCTTCATGAGCACAGGTCTTAAAGGTCCTCTTAATAAGCTGTTTGATGGAGCAGAAGGGCATAATGTGCGCAGAAGTTTGAATAATTAAGGCCCCTTTTTGTATTTTCATTTCCCGTAACCCCGCAACGGGCAGGAACCCACTGGAGAACAATGGTTTTCTTAAGGGATGCTAAGTATTCAAGTTGGAGGCGGCAATCTAAAATGGCTCGAGTTAAGGGATTATTTAAGGATGCAATGGCAAGCAAAGCAACTCTTGAGTCACATAGGACAACAGCTTTTTCAAAAAGATCGATATGACACTGAAACTGGACTAGAGCTATTCGGATTACATCAATCTCTCCATCAAAAGCAGATCCCTGTCTCACAGGGGCATAAATGGAAAAAGCCTGGGAGAAAACTCCGGCACCAACATTAGGACTGTCTGGTAGGAGGGATCCGTCGGTGTAGATCCGAAGCCACTCTGGCTCAGGGTAGTAAGAGCTCAATGCTTCATAAGTCAAGACTATAAGTCAACTTCATAAGTCAAGACAATGAGTCTTAATGTTGCACGCGTATTTTTCAGGAACTATTTAAGCTAATCACAAACTCGTTGTACACAAAATTTGTTTATCTAAAGAAAATGTAATCAAAAGTAATTTTTAGAAATTGTTTATTGTGTTTCATTATTTTACTTACTGATAATCGAAAAAATTTGAAATTGCAAGGCATAAAATTTTTTGCATCATTTTAAAGAATGCAATTTATATGGCAAAATGTAAAAATTTTAGCACATTCGATCAAATGATTTCTGAGTTATCGACTTTAAAAAAAAAAGTCGTATATATTAAATTTGATTTTACAAGAACATTTCGTCCAATTTCTTTCAAACATTGTATTTTGAGCCGTGACGGCTCAGGGGATACAGGAGTGTTCGCCTTAAAAAGGGGAACCGGGAAAAATACAGTGATGGCTCAGGAGAAAAATACAGGAGTGTTCGCCTTCCAATGAGGTGAACTGAGTTCGAATCCCAGCAATAGCTTGTCGATACGAATCCGCTGCTTGCACCGACCCCAGTGCTGTCGTAAAATATCCTCAGTGGTAGACGGATCATGGGTTAGAGTCCCCTTTCCCTCATGTTCTCCTCTCCACGCAACGCAAATGCGGGTTAGTTCCCTCAAAAAGTCCTCGACGAAGACAAATTTCTTCCGATACATGATCCAGGAGTTTCCTTGTCTTCTGGATTGGGTTCAAAATTGCAAGGCTACGGAACTGAACATTAGTAGTCGTAACTCCAAATTTGGGTCGGCTGTTCAACTACGGTTATAAAAAATATAAAAAATAAAACATCGTATTATGTCATTTAAAACTATTCATTTTAAAATCATATAAAACTTTCGTGTAGTTTACAATTCTAAATTAATAACTAAATTAATTATAAATAATTGCCTCTTTATTTACAAAGCACTATCTTTGGATAAACAAATTTTATAACTGGATTCAAAAAGTTCTCCATTCTCTTAAGTAGTTTTCGAGATATAAAGCAAATAAAGAAGTCAAGAAAATGTATTCTGAAAAAGTGATTTCGTAATTTAAAAATATCTTCTACTCTAGTTAATTGGCGCATTAAAGGTCCACAAACCATTAAAATGGGAAGTTATTTATGCAGTCCCCAGTCTCACTACAAGAATCTTTGTAAAATCTCAATTATCAGGTGATACAGCTTTATTGTTTTTACTCGACTGAAACCGGTTTGCCCTTCTTTACATTTGTGTATCACTTGGTTAAATTAGGCGATATATAATATAAATTCGACAATTGGATAAATGATACTATAGAATTTAGAATATTTATTATATCAGGTATTATATTAGTAGATTATAGTAATTCGACCGAATTATTAGACACACTGTAGTGTTTTAATAATGACACATTTTGCACGAGTTTATACGCAATACTTTTATATCTAAACATACATGTAATGGGTTTTTATTCGGAAGGTTTTTCATATACATTTTATTTGTATTTATTTTTAACGTTTTGCATTACAATGTTAACCAACTGATACATGAACGTAAACAAGTGCAAACCGGTTTCAGTCACGTCAAAACAATAAAGCTGTCTCCTGATAATTAATATTTTAGTGTTTCCCTGTATAACCATGTATATCATCTGTTTCTTTTAGATGTTGCAATGACAATTAAAGATATTTTGCTCACCCCACCTATATCTGGATCAAATTTTAACTTTTTAATTGACTCTAATAGAACTACCTGTATTCAAAGCAATTCTACAACTATAGCTGTTTGGGAAATTCTCATTGAAAAGATTTCACCTATAAAAATGATAAAAGTGGATTTATTAAGTAAGTTAGACCAATAAATTATAGAATTAAAACTAAAATATCTATTAAAAAATATTTATTATTTTTTAAGCTGATTCACCCTTGAATGTTGATATTTTGGTAATTGGAAAGAATAAAACATCTTTATGTGGAAGAGCTGAGAGTTATTTAGGTAAGTTTTTCATTTTTTTTTTTTTGTAACTCTTTCAGATTGTATAACATTTGAAATGTTTTAAATTTTATTTTGAATTTCGTTTTAAGCTTGAATTATACTATTAACTTTTTGGAAATCTAATTTCTATGTTTATAAATGTTTTGTTCATCAATATTCGAAGATAAGGAATTTCTTTATTAGATTTGAGAATATCCCATCTGTTTTAAAACAAAGTTCAAATTTACAATTATAAATCCTTTCCAATTGCAACTAAATTGTATTTTGGTTTTACTCATATCTGTATTTGAAACAAATAGTTGACAATTCTGTATTTGAAGGAAAGGAAAGATTTAATTATAAAATCTCATGTTCAGTAATTACTAATTGAAAACATTGTTCAATTGACGTTGAATTTAATTTATTTTTTCCTATTTTTATCTTACTTAGAGGCATTTATTTCATTTGAGTTCTAGCAAATAACTTCATTAAATTATATCTAAGGATATATCTTTCCTATTTAAAATGATCTGTTGTTTTTTTGTGTATTGGTGGTATTTTTTCCTAATATTAGAAAAATATCTTAAAACCACTTAAATTCCTATTTCATGAAGGGGAATTTTCCATTGAATTTTTTTCTTGGGCTTCTATTTTTTGTATTTAGGTAGAGTTGGCACAGTACAACACGTTACTTGTAGTTCCGGTTCAACAAGGTGCCTAAAAACAAGAAACTATTTACTATGTTCCTTTTAAAAAATAAACTAAATGTGTTCTACTTTTTCAATATCGTCAACAGAGCTTGACTAAGGCAGATGGATACGTAGCCCCGGGCCTCCACATCTGAGGAAGACCCCGAAATCGAACAGAAAGTTTATTTTACCTTTAATAAACTTTTTATAAACAAAATATCAGTACAGTGTAAAATCCATTTTATGTTAGCTTCTTCATTAATTTATCATATGAGCACAAAAAATCTATATTTCGTAAATCCATGGCTTTATAGGGCGAAACTTCGCTAAATTCTCGCAATTACTATGGACAAATTTGGCCAAACAAAAGTCTGTATTTATACATATCTCAATATGCTATATGTGTACAAAAATACGGGCTTCTGATTGGCTTAATTGAGCCATCGTAATTACGAAAATTTGGATGAATGAATTTTCGCAGCTAGATGACAAAAATAACAATCAGTTATCCCATTGATGACCGTTTTATACTTCTTTAATTCAGTTAATTTGGAAAATAATAAATTTTCGTCGAATTTTGGCTCTTTAGATGTGCTTTATCTTTTTTGTGATGGACATTGTTAGAAAATCAATAAAATGGACAGAACGATATTTCGTCTGACTGGGGGGGGGGGGNAATTGGGGGGGGGGGGGACTGTATAGCTATTTCAGGTTCTAGTCAATTTTCTTATTTCATAGTCAATTTTCTTAGTCAATTAATTCATAATTAATTTCATAATTAATTTTGAATTATTTCAATTCATAATTAATTTCATAATTAATTTTCTTATTAATTTTCTTAAGTTCGGTTCTGCATTACTGAAGTAGTGAAACAGAGGGGGACCCCTACGAAAGTTTTGCCCCGGGCCCCAATTAGACTAAGTCGGGCCCTGATCGTTGATAATTCTTTATGGACTACAAGAAGAAGGTGACAATGATAGAAGGGATGACAAACAAATCTCCACCAAAAAAACGACAGAAAAAAAGAAAAAAAATCATCAAGGAATTCGATCAGACAATTTCCATATTTAAAAAATTTTTTAAACAATATTATCTCACTCATTTAATTACTGAAATAGTATTTTCTTTCCTGCATTGAATAAGTTATATATCGAAATAAAAAATAGACGTAAAAAATTTTATGAACTATTATATTGAAAATAATATTTTAAGCCTGCAGTCCACAATAAAATGGTTTTATAGTTCTTATGACTTATAAATTGTTTGTAAATGAATTGAAACCCCTAATAAAAAGAGTAAAAAAATCAATTGTAAACATAGTCCTGTATATAGTTTTTAGTCTTATAATTGTCTAAATAAAGAAACATCTACGTGCAGATGTTTGGCTTATTACGTCACAAACTAGTTACGAATAAAAGGATTCAAAAGTCACTCCTCTGATCTGAGATTTAAATAATGGTAGAAAAACAAAATATTTTATTTTTTAAAGTCAATTTTCGTTACATTTAATTAGCATATGATACACTATTTTTACCATTCCTATTGCAGAATACTTTTAGATTGTATTTTTTTTATATATATTGATCATAAAAAAACCCACAAATATTTATATCCCATCATGTTCATACGTTACTTGAATCGAGTTTTTTTAAATCTTTTTCATAAATGTCATTAAGAGCTCTTAAAAATCGGACAAATCAGGCAAGGTTGGATACTTAACATTATTGATTTTATCAAATTTTCAGGATATGTTCTTTACGTAAAATATGTTTTTTAATTTTTGTGAAGAAATTTTCTTGAGTTTTTTTTTTGGGGGGAGGGGGGGAGAAAACTGATGCTCCTCTAAAATTTTATAAGAACACATTTATTTATATGTGATGCAGATTTTTGTAAAGTGCGTGAACCCCGATCCTTATTTTGTGTTTCACTACTTACCCACGAATTATTAAGAATGCATTGAAATAAGGCTATTTTCCTACAGTCAAAATCTACTTGGAGAAAAGTTGAATCTATCAAAAATCACCAAGTATGAAATTTGATGCAAAGAAGCCTTGAGTAAATGAATACCCAATTTGAAGTTAACACCAATCTCTATCCAGAATTTACTGAAGGGAGACAATTTAGGCAATTCTGATGTAAAAACCTCCCTCCAAATCGATAGTTCACACATATTTATGCATTTGATATCCAGGCAAGAGTGGTTAAAATGCATTTTTTAAGCAAATGATAAAAACACTTTTAACAGTTTAAAGTTAGGAACAGAAAAGTACATAACTGTATTTTACTATTATAATACAATTACATACTTTTTATACACGCATTTCTTATTACTTTTAAACTCCTGTTGGTTGATTGAAAAATACATAAGAATCAATACTTTACTTACCTGGATAGCAATATCAGATACAAAAATAGGTATGTCAGAATTCACTCTGTTTCTAGATAAAACAACTTCTTGACTATTCATTTTATTGTCTTAGAATCAATCCATCACTTACTTCGATAACGAAGAACCGTTTGCACCCTTAATAAATTCTAAATAAAAAATCTAGCTTATTTCGGAGGGAAGTGTTCATTTTTAAAATCCTTTTACCTTAATTGTTTTTGTATTCAGATATGGTCTCAAATTTTAGGGATATTTTAAATCAGTAACCATAGATCTGTAAATTTATTTTGTTTCAGCCATACATACCAAAGTCAAAACTTTTGATGGTTTTCCATTGATGGACTAACATAATCTTGATGGTAACCATCAATAATTACATCATGAACCGTTATATGTTTGATGGTAACCACGATAAGTAGCCATCACCTCGGACTAATTTATGATGGTCTAACATAAGAATAGCAACTTGTTTTGATGGTTTGTTCATGTTGAACCATCATGAATTTCCATGATAGTATCTCAGAAATCAAATGTTGGAACGATTATGAACAACCACCATCCTAATGTAGGATTTGATTTATGATAGTCAAATATATTCCTGAAAACTAACAAGAATTCCCTTTTATGGAAATGTATAGATGGAACCATCACGGATCATTATGAAAATCAAACTTCTCTTGATGGTTAACCATCATAGTATTAAAGTAGCATCATGGAATGCTTTTTCAGCAAATTTCGTCTATTTTTGATGATTTTGAAAGTAGTGTAAAATTTTAGTTTCTTGCTACTTTAAGATCAATTTTAAGAAAACACCATGTACACAACACTTATGTTGATTCATTTTAGGTTGTTTGCGTTGATTAATGTGTACTCACAGAAACCTACCCTGTTGGCAGAAGTAGATTTTGACTGTGTAAGTAAAAAAAATAAAATAGTCAAATAAATAAATGAATCGCATCTCAAAGATTTCTGAGCGACTTACGACCTCAGATGCAAGGTTTTTTTAAAATTTTTATAACCGTTGTTGAACAGCCGACCTATTTTTTTGGGTTTACGACTTCTAATGTTCAACTACGTAGTCTTGCAATTTTTAATTCAATCCAGAAAGTAAGGAGACTCGTGGATCAGTACCCCAAGAGGTATGATTTGTTATGGGAACATAGAAGACTTTGTGACTCAGCAGATTTAACGTGGCACCATTTCAAGTATCAAAAACTTTCTGACTTTAAATAAATAAAACATAAAAAAAACTTTAAAAAAACTGATTCCTAAAACGAATGGACAGAAAAAATATTATTTTTTTATTGACAAAAATAAATCTTATTCAATATCGAAATGAGCTATAGGTGGCATAGAGCAGAACTCTTTACCTATGGCAGCACTTCACAATTAGCGTGTGGAGATTCATAAGAGAAAGAAGTAATTTAAAATAGATTAGATACTTTAAAGTTAGAAAACTTTGTGGAACTGAAAACTACATTGAACATAGTTCTAAAAGAAAGAAGAAATTTAAAAAAATGTTTGTGAGAATATAAAATACGAAAAATATTAAGAAAAGGAGAAAGTCATGTAACCGGTTTTCTCCCCAGATCGCGAATATTGGTCTCAGAAGGATAGTATAGACTAAAACATCTAAAAAGATGACTTTATTACAGGCTCTGGATCTTCCTTAATTGTGGTGTGTCCATCAGGATTAGAAGGAAATTCTATTCGAATGACACAAAGATCTTATCCAGAGATGATTTTTAAACTTTGTGAAATTAGTGTGTTTTCTTCATATGGAGTTGCAGGTGAGTCATCACATTCTTACAAATTTCTCACAAGAAGTTGTTTAATTGTTATTTTACCATATTCAACATTTACATAACCAAAAAAAGATGGCATTCAAATTGTTAATTGTGAAAAAATCGCTTAATAACTGTTTCAATCTAATATGGATAAATAACACGAATTTCTTCCAGGCCTACTAAAACTAAACTAAACTCAGTGGCGCGACAGCCCATAGAGGGCCAAGGCCTACTGCGCCCATCTCAGTTTTCTCGACCTTGGGCTCTGGTGTGCAGGAGCAGATGTTCCGGTCAGGTGGTCAGCCGAACGCGGAACCCCCAGTGTTTAGTTCCCAAGCATGCTTGGTACTCATTTATCGACCCACTGAAGGGATGAAAGGCTGAGTCAACCTTGCCCGGCCCCAGGATCGAACCAGGGACCTGTGGCACGACAGCGCGAAGCGCTACCGCTCAGCCACCGGGCCTACTAGGCTCACCATATGAAGCCACTTATTTCCTCTCAACATATTATAAAGCTAGTAACATACCATAAAGCTGAGAGAATTAATCTCACGAATTAGCTGAACTGGGATCCCTGCATTGACACTACAATATTTCTTCCATTACTTCATTCATTATGAGTATCCTGTAATTCCTAGTTGATGACCCTGGATTATTAGAACTCAAAACTTTCATTAGAAAGCTGCTTAACAAAAGGAAGTCTAGTATTTCCATATCACACGATAGATGGCACCTTCAGATTAACTAAATAAGCCGCATTCTACGGTTCACTTGCCAAAACAAAAGTCCATCACATCTTAGCTCCATTATCCATGACCTAATGAAAAGCTTAACTGTTAAATTTTATTTTAAAGGTTTTGAAACCGTACAGTTTTGCATTCACGGATTTTTAACCATACCAGTTGTCAACAAAGTCGTAAAAGTGAATAACTGTAATTTTTAGGGTTATGTGGATGAGCAGACTGGTTATTTTAAAGTAATTTTAAAATAAAATTTACAATTATATACAGTGAGAAAAAAAAGAAGATATTACCCTGAATAACTTTCGTTCTAATGATCGGATTTTCACGTACCAAGTGTCAATCTTAATGGTTTCTTTTTGGTGGCTTCAAATTTGCTAGTTAATTAGTGCTAGCTATTAATTAAGTTACGACACAAAATACACTTTCTCAGAATAAACACATATATTTTTTTAATTTATTTGGATTCCTGACCCTCGAAGTAGGAGGACAAAATTTCGAAAAGATTGGATCATAAATTTGGGATCTAATTTGGCAATAGTCCCAAAAAACAGCCAAGCAATGTCACCGCCGCAAATGAACCCATAGACTACTTGAAAAGAGGAATATTTAATTTTACTCCAAGCAACCGAGTTCAGATTATATTAAAAAGATAGAAATAATGTTCTTTGATTACCTGAAGATGTTTATTTATTAACAGTTGCTAGAAAATATCTCCAAGTTTTGAGGCAATAGACAGTTTTTCTGCTGATTTCTGACCTAAATGATTTTTTTTCTTTTTAGTTTCCTTTTAAAAGAAAACTTTTATCGATTTATAAATTATTTATGATTTTCTAAGCTTGAAGAATTTGAATACATGAACTCCTTACCTGACATTATTTGGGTTTTTATGCTGTTTTTACTTCATTTATAGGTGGATTTCATACTATAATTAAATTTGCGTAACTTATTTTAACTGTATGTAACTGTATGCCTTGATCGAGTCTTCTAGGCAAGAAAGTTTAAAGAAAGAAAAAAAACGAGCCTGAAAAAAATTTAAATTGTTTAGTAATTCACAAGGTTTTATATCGTTTACGATATTTCTGTTTTCTATAATTGAAGGAATAACTGAATGTTAAGTGGCATTTTTAAAAGATGTTATCTTTAAGAATAACATATTGAAATAATATGTTGCGTTATATGATTCGTTCTTTGAAATATCGCTTCATTCTGCCAGATAATTAAGTTACATGGTATTCTTTGGATAAAGATAATTTGCAAAAAGCGACTGATGTTTCGATGCATTCTGAAACTTTCGCAAATTCACTATAAAATTTCGCACATGTTCTTCAATTACGATAAGTTGCATTTATCACCAAATACCGCCACTTTAATTTCTTTGTTTTCTTATATATATCTGATACGATACTCTCTTTTTAAACAGAATTCGTAAGGTTCTTAAAATACTGAAATGGCACAAAAACTTTAAAGATAAAATATTCAATTTTATTAATTTAAAATATCTGGCCCAAAATTTAAAGATAACTTTATAATTACAATATTGATGATACAGTTCTCTTACTAGACCACATGAATCCTGTTAAAATATTAAAATGAATATGTTTATTTTTAGGAGCATAAAATCCTTATCAAAATAATGATCAGGACCCAAATATAAAACAGAATAATTGATGATAAATACTTCACTAGCTTCAAAAAATATGAAGAGGGAAATAAAAGTCGACATGTTTCGAGCCTTCAAATATAAGCACCCATTCTCAAGACGCGTCAGGGATGAATGGTTTGTGACTTTAATTATTGGAAGCTCAAAACTTGTCTGTTTTTATTATACTTTTGGATTCAGTTTCTTGGAATTATTCATTTAGTAACACAGTATATTAAACTACTTCGCGCGATATTAAAATAATTTTTACGCAAGATAAAGGTTCTTTGATTGAAAAAATAATAAGTAGTCATTACTTTCTAAGAAAAGAAATGCAGCTACTGCTATCCTTGCTAAAAAATTTTGAGACCATAAAAAATGTCCGTTTACAATTGAAATGTCAGAATATGAAAATGGAATGTCCCCTAGCACCAGAAATCAAAATTAAATAGGACAGCTATTTCAAACAAGTTAACCGTCCTACTAGAAGTTGTTTAAAATGTATTTTTTATTTATCCATTCAAAAGTTTATTCTACATATATTTTAGGGTATACTTCGATCGAGTTTTACCCTTATTAGCTTAAAATTATTAAATAATTTGCTTAAAATAAATTATTCTAGCTATATGATTTAATGCCTTTATAGTATAATAGTAAACATATCATTAAATAAATGTAATAAGCTAAAATAAATAATAATAGTCTTCAAGGAATACCAAACAGATTATTGTGTAGGAGTAATATCATTCTTATGGCGAAACATTGTTATTCACAGTTTCAGTAAAAAGTATATTCTCGCTGCGTTAAATCAAAATAAGTTCGAAAATTTTATTATATATTTCAAATTAGATGATGATTGACACGGAATCTTTTTACAAATTTCAGTTTTGAGTATTTGCTGTTTAACAAAGTAAGGAATTTTCCTAATAACAAATTATGCTATAATAATATCTTGGCAATTGTGCTAAAGTTGAAAAATAATTTTAACAAAAGTAGATTTTTTCAACATCTTTTTTTAAAAGAGCAGCTTTCTTAAATTTAACTGCGTAATATATAAGTTTGAACGTTAAAATAAAATTGCGGTTCGAATTTGTTCATTTAAAAAAAAAAAAAAAAAAAAAAAAAAAAAAAAAAAAAAAACAGTTTTTTGAATTGAACTAATATGTATTTGCTTTTCTCAAACCAAACAAATTAGAAAAGCTTTTTAAATAATGAATAATGTTTGTTCAATCTTAGAGAAAAGGGTGTATAATTTTAACATGTATACCTATACTGATAGAGATTTTAACGATAATATGCTAAGGGATAATTAAGTTTTTCAACTGATTTAGGGAAGTAAATTGGGTCCCGTAGTTTAGTGTTGAGAGCAGACTAAAGTTGGAGCCCGGCGAAAATAGCACACAGTTACGTAATTATAAAGTCAGAAACCGTCACAAGTGTGACCATTTCGAAATGTGCCGGAGATATTAATGTGACTTTGATGATGCTATGTCTATCATATAAAAGTCTCCATGACTTCTTATTAAATTCCTACTATTAGTTCTCCCTGTATCTTGTTCAAATTTTCAGTCGTTAATAAAATTCTTTTTATTCATCCACTCAAGGTCAAATACATTTTTTTTAACTTGTAGTAGATGACGCTTGATGTTAATACAGTTTTTTAAATATTAAATCATTAATTAAATAGGTGAAAAACGAAATGGAATTTTCTAATCATCAGTCATTGTTTTCAATTTTACTATAAGCTATTCAGTTTTTCACATATTTTAAAAATAGCATCAGTGCTAATTTCTAACTTATAGCTCTATTTGAACAAAAAAATAGTTTATTGTGGAAATTTAAAAATTTAATTTTTTATATTCGCTGTGTCCGATAAATTTAATAAGGAACGTTACGTGGTAGCACGTGTGGGCCACGTCACCAAATTTATACTTTTATAGTTGTCTGATACCACGCGTCTTTTTTTATCCCCTTCAATTCCTACTGTTAGTTCACATTCTCCCTAAATATATTTATATATCTGGCTCTAATTTTCAATCGCTAATAAAATACTACTTTTTATTCTTCCATTCAAGTTCAAATACATTTTTTTAAACTTGTACTTACTAAAAATGGACGAGTGAAAATAACTCAACTTGAGTGCTATTTAACTCTTTCATCTAGAAAAAAGCGGCCTTCTCTTCTTGAGTTAAAATCACTCAAGTGAAAGAGTTATATGGAAAAAAATTTCACTCAAACTTGAGTTATTTTCACTTGTGTTTGAATGATTTTCAGTATTACTTGAGTGGATCCTTTTCACTCAAACTTGAGTGATTTTAACTCGTGTTTGAGTGATTTACAGTATTACTTGAGTGGATCATTTTCACTCAAACTTGAGTGACTTTAATTCGTATTTGAGTGATTTTCAGTATCACTTGAGTGACTTTAATTCGTATTTGAGTGATTTTCAGTATCACTTGAGTGGATCGTTTTCACTCAAACTTGAGTGATGTTAACTCGAGTTTGAGTGATTTACAGTATTACTTTAGTGGGTCCTTTTAATTTGAATTTGTGTGAATTTCAATCATTTTTTATTCATAATTAGCATCATTTAAGTGAATATATTTTAATCATACTATCAT